TTGGCTAGTTTTGTACTTTTAATTCCTTTTTTTCCGCTAATTGTTAGGCTTACCTAGTCGTAGAGACTAGGTGCCGTCACGACAGTTCATTGAGGGAGAACTTGGGTCGTGAAAAATAGAATTCATGACTCTGCTGTACTACCTAATCTTGGGAGGATTGTTGCGATTATTGTCGCGTAGGCTTGTTTCACCTTTATTTCGGTATTTATATTAATCTATGTTTTAAAAATATCATATTAATTGGTTTAACTGTTGTAAGTGATCGACTCAACTAGTTTTGGAGACTAGGTTCCTTAATGTGGGATTTTTGGTCGTGACATTTATATCGTTCCATTCTATTTGAAATATAAATATTATGAGTATCCAATACCGTATTATGTTTCCTAGTATTTTGTGCTTTTGTCATCAAATTGAAAAGAATCTTTAATATATACTACGTGATGCGATATGGTAAGCTATTATAATTATATAGTGCTGACCGTTGCATGATTAAATTTATTCTAATCAGAAAGAAAACATTGACATTTATTTGGCAATTGCTCTATTTAATTTTTTTTCTCGAATTGCTTTAATGAACATTCACAAATTTGTGATACTTTAACACTGTTGGATAGTATGGTGATACTTAGCAATTTAATTAAAGAAAATACTAATTTTTAAATAAGGTAAGTAACATTATAATTAAGGAAATTACATGAATGGCACCCAATTCAATTACCTTGATAGGTCATTCTACAACATTGTTGTCTGGTGATGCGAGTTATTCGCAAGATCACGAAGAGGTGGAAGCATTACGAAAAGAAGTTGAAGAGTTGAAGGAGGAACGGAAAGAAGATCGCGCAAATTTTAACAAATTGCAGAGTCTAGTGGAGAAATTTATGAGCGAACGTCCGTTTGGTCCTTTGAATGGCGAGGATGGCGGGGATATTGAGTTTTAGTTTGTTATGGTCATGATGTTTGAGACATTATTATTTGTTGTAGTTGGATGTTTAGACTTGGTAATATTTACACTTGACTATGATTGTAATATTTTAGACTAGATTGAATGGTGCCAGAATGTTTAACTCTTTTTGAATGTTTTAGTTACAAATATTTATGTTTTGCATTTTATAGATTTGATTAGTTGCAATGGTGGATTGATTGGTTGTTGTATATTTTAATTGGTAGGTGGTACTGCTTTAAAAGAGCTGGAATTTGGCAAAAAATTTTCAGTTTTCCGACTTATTTCCGACCATAGTAGTCGCAAAATGCATCAAAATATTCCAAATTCAAGAACATCTGTGATTACTGTAGTCGGAAATATAAATAAATAAATAGTTTTAAATTAGATTTGCGACCACGGTAGTCGGAACTATAAATAAATAAATAATTTTAAATTAGATTTGTGCCTACAGTAGTGGAAAAACTCAAATAAAATTAAATAATATTATAATTATATATACCGTTTGCGACCGAAGTAGTGGGAAAGTTAATATAAAATTAAAATTTAATTCAACCTGTTTGCGACCGTGTCAGTCGAAAACTTTACCACATTTATTAGTCGTTTTTCTATTTTGCCTTAGCGACCGTTGTAGTCGCAAATTACGGACGAATTCGGTCGCAAACTATTTCAGACCAGCTATTTTGCAACTAGGACTTTTCGGTCTGAATGTAGTCGGAAATTAGCATTTTCTGACCACTTTTTAACCGTTTTTGCAGTCACAAAATAGCCATTTTCTAGTAATGAATTAAACTGATATGCTGATTTCATAAATTTTCTACCATAAAAGGTAAATACATAAAAGATTGTATAGCTTAAATTGGGATAATATTTATCTTTCAACATGTACAACTAAATTATTACCTCAATAAAAGTGTGAACACCCATTTTTCCAATTATACACTTATTTATATGTTATTACCATGTCTGGATATGATAGATGGATTTTCTATATATGTCCTAAAAGTAGGTCATTGAAAGATATATAGCTACCCTCCCAAGCCTCCATATATACTTTATTTTATACCTTTAAACTTCCACAGTTGGAATAGAAAGTGTATTTTAGGTCTTCCTTGAAAAATGGTTAATGAGCATAGAAGATCAGTTGTTCTTCAAGAAAGGATGGAAACTTTGTTTAAGAAAGCAGAAGAGCTATCTGTTCTATGTGATGTAGAAATTGGTATTATTGTTTTCAGCCCTGATAAAAAAAATGCTGTATATGAGTGGCCATCAAGAGATAAATTTAAACAACTCTTGATGAGATATCTAGATAAACCACTGGTAGAGAGGCTTAAGAAGTTGACAACAAATGAAATGTTCCTCATGAAGGAGATGGATGCTAAGATGAAGATAATTGAGCAGCAGAAGACTGAAGAAAAGGAAATGGAACAGCTATTTAGCCAGTTATATCTTGGGGAAAAGACTGTCTTTGATCTGGATAAAAGACAACTTATAGGTGTTCGCAACTTAGCTATAAAGGCGAAAGAGAAGGCCGTTAAAAGGAGAATACAACTCAAGTTACAAGATCAACGTCTTTCGTCACCAATTAATCGGATACAACTTCGAGTGGCTCCACTTAATGTACAGGATGAACGTCTTCAGTTACCTGTTGAAGATCCTTTGGCACTTCGATTGGCTCCACTTAACGTACAAGATCAACGTCTTCAGTTACCTGTTGATGATCCTTTAGCTCTTCGATTGGCTCCTCCCGAGAATTAATGAATATGGTTAATCACAATCAGAGATTAGCGCAACAACAATCAAAAGTTTATTTGTGCAACTTAGTTATCGAAGCTTCATATTCTTTGCCTATAGGAAAGCTTACATGTGAAACTATCAAGATATTTGATGTGTTCCATTTCTCTTTAATGTATCTTTGCTTCTTTACTTATTTATTTTGTTTTCTATTTAGTAATAATCGTCGTCCAAAAGTCACTTTATAGTTTCAGTTTTGCAAATGAAGAGTAGTGTTATATGCATTTCCAGTTGCGGATTTTCAGATGCAAATCGGCCAGATTATTTTCTTCAAAAAAGAGATTGAGTGCAAGATCGAGTGCTATATAGCATATATAAAACATTGGCATTTATTGATTATTATTTTTTATTAAAAAAAAAACAAGAGGTTGCTCGAGGTCATTGTTTTTACTCGTTTGGTCAACACAACATTAATGAACTAGCTCATATTCACAAAGTAGATAGATTAGCCGAGATCTTCCTATGCTATTTTTCTTGTTAATTTCAAATTAAATCTTCCATGTCTATAAATAAACAACCACTGTAAACTTGTGATACTTAGTGGATGAATGAAGCAACCGCGTTCCTCCCCATGCTCTAATAATCTATATATATATATATATATATATATATATATATATATATATATATATATATATATATATATATATATANTCTATCTATCTATCTATATATATATATATATATAAAGTTGGGACTTAGGCAAGGTGATGTGGCAATCTCTAGAACAAGAAAACCTCTTTATCTTTTTTCTCCTTTTTTTGCCATTTTTCCCATATATATTCCTTTTTATCGCAAATTAAAAAAATCGAAAAGTCACGTCTCATGAATAGTCTTGATTAATGATTACACTTACGCCTTTTCCTCTTCTTTTGTTCTTTAATAAGCCTCTTCGTCTTCTTTTGTTCTTTAATATAATAAAGTTACATTTTTTCCTTTGAAAAAAAAGTAACGCTATTTCCTCATCTTAATATAATAAGTTACAATAAAATATTGTATTAATTAGTGCGTCTTTTCATGTAGTTGTCCCGATAGACACGAATGTTGATTTGGGCGTTATGGCTTTTCAATTTTCACTGTTCGCCATGAGTGGTTAATACTGTCCCAATCTCTTCATCCTCTAATTTTTTTCTTTTCTTCTATTCTCTCTAGCTAATACTTTGATGATTGTGAGACTGCTCTACCTCTCCCCTTTTCCGCCCATGGACAAATATAGTTCCTCTTTTTCTTTCCTTTTTCTGTTGAGGCGAGAAAAAAATGCTGTCGAAGCATTTTCTATGTCCTAGCATGTTTTCTTTAGTGCTGAATATAGTATATGACAATTTTTGCAGCTATGTTTTCGTCCTTTCTCTTTTTTCGGACTCGCTTTTTCAAGGTTTTTTCTAACACTTCCTTTTTAACTTTTTCCAATTTATATTATGGGTTATCAATGAAAAGTTTAAATAATGAGAAGCAAAATATTTGGAAAATTACCAGCGAATTGGGAAAAGAAGATGGAAGTATAGTTTATACGTAAGTTTTATAGAGTAATGGTAGGAGGGAGGGAGTAAAAGGGATGAAATAAGCAGTAGGAGGAAAGGGACAAGACTTACAAACGGGGAAAAAATTTCCACGCTCCGCGTTTGTTCAGAGTGAGAAGGTCGGCCTTCTCACTACTTTTCTTAATCAACTAGATGACTCTTGCCCGCGCTTGCGGGCCCAACGATTTTGATTCTAATGCTTTATTTTACATTACAATTAAAAAACAAAAACACTTCGTGAGATGTACAGTTAAAATTCCCTATGCCAAAAGAACACACATAAAATTAGACATAAAAATCCCACGATGGCAAATATGCACATCGGGTGATATCTCCAATTTGTGAAAAAGTCACCTTCAATCTTATGGTATCTTGAAAAATCACTCAACATGGGTGTTAGCCATGAACTTAATTAAAGAAAAAAGTCGCCTTCAATCACCTCTTGTGCAATTATATGTTGTAGCCAAAGCAATATGTTTCACTCTATGAACTTCCAGAGTCCCCCTTTTTTCCCCTTCTACGTCTATACCTGCTGAAATTAACTCCCTTCTCTTTCTGTTGATGCGGCTTGTGGGTAGGAAACCAAGTACTAACATTTTAACTATGCATAATTACAACTTATGCCTGCACCCTTGACTCGACATGTATGTATTACAAACTGACTAGATCTTCATGATATATCTCCTCTCTCTATAGCTTTCAAGCTCAAGAGTCTAGAAGAAACATAATGATAATACTTGCTCCAATTAGATCCAGAACAAGTTCCACCAAGGTAATTGTGAACTTGGCAATTTTGAAAGATTGTAACTTCAAGAGAAGGGGATTATGTAGGATATTTTACATTTATAGGAAACTTTTGTCCTAAAAAATAATTCAAAATTACTTAGTAGAAAGATATACTCTTTACATCAAAGCAATATACACAAGTAGAACATGAGCACCACGCAGTGTTCCAAGCCATGCTCGCCCAGTTCCCTTCTGCCTTCACGATTTTCTACCAGTCCAGTAACTTCACTAATAGTTTTAGTTGAATGGGTTCCCTGCAACATTCATCAAGAGTAGGTCAACAACACCATTTGAACTACTGCCTTGGCAAGTAACTATAATTTACAAAGCTTGTAGAATCAGGGGAACAAGCAAAAAGATAGTACACATGTAGGAGAATAGGAGGCCCTGATTGATTTAAATGATCTGCCTTAGATCATTTTTCGTCTGCAACAATTTTCTTTAGCAAGGCGATTTTTCCCCCAATGGCATTTAAGTTTCTGTGGTCTTCATATGCCTCAAAATGATCATCCTGATTCTCCTTTTTCCCCAGTAAGTCTCTTTGTTTCCCAGAGAAGCAATTGACAGTGAGATGAGAAATGGAAAATCATAAATGGCTCTTAGGCACGGGAAACACAGAGTAAAACAGGAATAGCTCGCCAATATGTATGCTCTATAATTCAAAATTTGGGATTCAAAAGAACCGTGCACATACCTGCTGTCGTTTTGCTAGCTGCCATCTCATAACACGATGAATAATATCCTTCCTAATTGGCACATCAAAAACATCGTCGGCTAAACACATAAAACCCTTGTCTTCATTATGAAAATTTATTACTGGAATGACCAGGTCCTGATGGAGCCCTGCCATATACAGTAATCAAAATGATAGTTACACAAAATCAGATGATATAGATTCATCCACTTGAGTAATTTTTCATTATAAATGAGGTAGGGAATTATATGGGGCAAACATTATAACAACTCTACTTTGTACTATCAATATGAGGCAATCATCCTTACAAAGGGCAATATATGATGATCTAGGAAGTGTTCCCTCATAGTAGGTGAAATGAAAGCCAAGCAACAAACAGTTTCAATTATTATTCTTCGTTATTTATAAAGCTAAAGGGGAATAAAATAGCAGATTGTACTTAAACCAACAACGTGGTGATCAAGGAAAAAATATTTGCATGAAGCATGATAGATAGCTGTGTTTTCATTATATTCCTACAGCTTCTAAGTTAGTCATGGGAATGTGAGGAACTATAATTTCATTAAACAATACTCAACAATCTTTTTGTGCCAAATAGCTTACCTCAACATGCTTGGTATTGCAGATAGTATTTGTTGTTTTTGTGCCAAATACTTAAAAGTACACAAGCCTCATTCTCCAAAAAGTTAAGGAGTAAAAGAGAAACTTCTCCCAAAAAAATGCAGTCGATGCCAAAGATACTTGTTCTGCAAGATATGATATCCAATAACGTACCACTTTACGCTATTCTTTATAAACTCAGGGGGCTCGCTAAAAAAATACTGGTAGGTCCTGCACAATACGAGTATCAATAGAATCTTCTTTGAATTCTAACTTACATGACATACATAATCATGCCATTTCATTTTAAAATATTGCTGGTAGAAAATCTCCCAACCTCTAATATAACCAAAACAGATACAGGTGACTCATCCAAATGAAATGAAACTCTTTGATGATCCTCTATGACTAAAAGATCATGTATGGTTATCATTTTTCACAAACATGTCCAAACTATTTCAGAAACTTCTTTTACATTATATGTAAAGCATCAGAATCTTAAAGGCATATAAAGCTTAACCGAGGGCTTCAAAAAGTAAAAGGCATGACAAACAACTTACCGAAAAGGCTGAATCTTTAGAATGAAATTCCATCATATATTTTGGTTCTTTAGAGCTTAGACATAAGGTTTCACCTGATATAAAGCGGCAAGAATCAAGAAGGAGGTAAGAAACCCGCTAGTAACAATAAGTAATCCCTGAGGAAATACTTCAAAAATGAATTATTACAAAACAATAAGACAAAAGGAAAGAGCTACCAAAGCAATTCAAGAACTTCACTTTGATAATTTATTTGGTGTACCCATCCAAATTTTGGAAACTTAATTGCCACCCAATGGAGAAATAGAGATCTATTGGAAGCCAGTGAATTCTTCACTGAGTTTGTAAAGGTATGGGGTAGGGAAAATTTTGGTAATATTTATAAGAATAAAATTAATGTGATGACCCAAAAGGTCATCACTCATTTTGGAAGGAAATTATGTGTTCCGAGGCCTTAAAATCTCCTTTTTGCCTTAACTCGGTTTGCGTGCACAGTTCGGACGTGTATCCGGAAAGCCATTATGTGAATATCTGTGAAAAATAATAATTTTTGCTTTTAAAATGAATTTAAGTTGACTTCGGTCAACATTTTTGGTAAACGGACCCGGACCCGTAATTTGATGGTCCCGGAGGGTCCGTAGGAAAGTATGAGACTTGAGCGTATGCTTGGAATCGAATTCCGAGGTCCCAAGACCGAGAAATAAATTTTTAAAGAAAATTGTTTTCTGGAATATATATGAGTTGTTGGAAATGAAATGTGTTTGAAATTTGATGGTATCGGGCCCGTATTTTGGTTCTGGAGCCCGGTGCAGGTCTTATATGTGATTTAAGTTGAGCCTGTAAAGTTTGGTTAGAAGCGGAGGTCATATGACGTGATTCGGAACCTTAGTTGTAAAATTTGAAACTTTGAGAATTCTTGAGATTTTCTTTGATTTTGATGCTAAATTCATAGTCGTTGATGTTTTTTGATGATTTGATTGCACGAGCAAGTCCGTATGATGTTTTTAGGTTAGTGTGCATGTTTTGGTTTGGAGCCCCGAGGGCTCAGGTGAGTTTTGGATAGGCCACGAAGTGAAATTTGCATTTAGGAATTGCTGGTGTGTTGCAGGTCTACAGGCTTCGCTGCGAGCTCGCAAATGCGAACACTGTATCACAAATGTGAACTATGGCCTAGGCTACCTTGGTCGCAAATGCGATGTATTTATCGCAATTGCGATATCGCAAATGCGACGGCAGCATCGCAAATGCGAAGAGTACAGTGATCCTCAGGGTTCGCAAATGCGATTTTAGCAGGTTCTGAAGGGTTTGCAATTGCGAACCCTGGTCGCAATTGCGACATCTGCGACCTGCAAATTCATGATTTATCCGAAAATCTTTCATATTTCAAACTCTTTCAAAACATAAACTCTCTTGGGCGATTATTCTAAGAAAAGTTCTTCCCCAAATCGATTGTAAGTCGGTTCTAACTCGTTTTCTTCAATCTTTAACATCTTTTCACATGATTTCAACTCAAAATCAAAGGTTTTCACGGGGGAAATTGGGTGTTTTGGGTAGAACTTAGGTTTTTCAAATTTTGGGTATTTGGACCTCGATTTGAGGTCCGATTTCAAAATAAATTATATATTTGGGTTCGTGGGTGAATGGGTAATCGGGTTTTGGTTCGAACCTCGGGTTTTGATCATGTGGGCCCGGGGTCGATTTTTGACTTTTTGGGGAAAACTTTAGAAAACCTATTTCCATGCATTAGAATTGATTCATTTAGCATTTATTGATATAGTTATGTAACTTGTGGTTAGATACAAGCAAATTGGTGGTGGAATCAAGAGGTAAAGCGATAGTTGAGGCTTGAATTGTGTTCGTGGCATCGAGGTAAGTGTTTGGTCTAACCTTAGCTTGAGGGATTAGGAGTCGTGTCCTACTTGCTATGTGTTAATTGTTGAGTACGACCTATAGGCATGGTGACGAGTATCTATACGTTAGTGTCAAGCATGACCGTAAGTCTTATACTATGACTAATGTGACTCCGTTTTGTATTGTTCATGCCTTATGTGATATTCCTATTGTTGAACAAGGTTTGTGAAAGTATCATTGGTATTTGAACGATTAAGAGCATTGGCTCAAGTTGTGAATTGATTTGTGAAAGTATTATTGGTATTTGAACATTGTAGAGCGTTGGCTCAAGTCGTGAATCGAATTGTGAAAGTATCATTGGTAATTGAGCATGGTATAGCGTTGGCTCAAGTTGTAAATTGAGTTGTGAAGTAAATGTGGAAAAAAGAGAAGAGAATTTTGATATTGTTCCCTTGCCGGGATGTTGTTGCTTTTCATATTGTTCCCTTGCCAGGATTTTCATTGTGATTTTATTGTGATTTCATTTATTTTCCTTGTCCTTATTGTTTGTGATTGTTGTTTGGGTGAGGAAGAGTGTTAAAGCACGAAGGGTGATACCGTGCATTGTTTTGGTGAGAGAGTGTTAAAGCACGAAGGGTGATACCGTGCATTTTTTTGGTGAGAGAGTGTTAAAGCACGAAGGGTGATGCCATGTATGATTTTTGTGAGGAAGAGTGTAAAGCACGAAGGGTGATTCCGTGCCACATGATGTACAATTCCGTGCCGATTAAATTGATTTTATGGTGAGGACGAGAGTAAAAGCACGAAGGGTGATGCCATGTATATTATGTTGATTCTTATGGTGAGGACGAGAGTAAAAGCACGAAGGGTGATGCCGTGCACTTGTTTGATTTCTGATTCTTGTTGATAATTGAATTATGGTGTTCGTTATGTTTACCTGCAGTTCTTATGTTATCATTTGATGTTTCCCCGCAGCATGGTTCCCCCTCCCCTCCTTAACTGTACATTCCTGCTTTTATTTTCCGCTGTATATGATTTAACTGCACAGGTTTTTTTTTGGTAGTCTGGTCCTAGCATCGTCATTACTTCACCGAGGTTAGGCTAGGCACTTGCCAGCACATGGGGTCGGTTATGTTGATACTAAACTCTGCACTCTTTTGTGCAGATCCCGGTGCTATAGCTTTCGGACCGTAGTGAGATTGCTGCTTCTTGTTAATCAGGCGATCCGAGGTAGTCCTGCAGGCGTCCGCAAGCCTTGGCGTCTCCTTCTATCTTTTTATTCTGTTTCTTTCATGTATTCCCAAAGACGGTGTTGTATTACTTTTTCAGAACTTTTTTTGTAGTATTCCTAGACAGTCTGTGAAGTTGTGATACCAGTCTTGGGTAGATTTGTTATGGATTGGTATTGGTAGTATTATTAAAACATTGCAATTCAATCTTCCGCTTATTAAATTTTGTTGTTTATTAAATGTCGGTTCTTAATTGCTAACGAATTAAAAATGAAAACAAGGTAAATAATTCAACTGGTTGGCTTGCCTAGCTTTCACTAGTAGGCGCCATCACGACTCCCGAGGGTGGGAAATCCGGGTCATGACAAGTTGGTATTAGAGCTCTAGGTTACTTAGGTCTCACAATTATTTCCTGTCGTGCGGTTTGGTTTCTCAATGCTAATTGAATTTCTACTCTGTTCTTTCCCAAATGGCGAGAACACGCGCTTCCTCATCCACCGATCAGCATCCCGAGACCCCAGCGGTAGCTCCCATGAGGGGCAGAGGGCGAGGCCGAGGCCGTGCTAGAGGCCGAGGCAGGGGCAGAGCTCACCTTAGAGCGCAGCACCTATGGCGGAGCCTCAGGTTGAGTTTGACGAGGAGGTTCCGGCCCAGGCAGTTTTGGTGGGCCCAACTCAGGTCCCAGAGGGGTTCATTGCTACCCCAGTACTCCAGGATGCTCTGGTCCGTCTAGTGGGCCTTATGGAGAGTGTCACCCGGGCAGGCTTGCTTCCTATAGCACCAGCCGTCTCTCAGGCTGGGGGAGGAGCCCAGACTCCTGCTACCCGCACTCCAGAGCAGATGGCTCCCCAGTTTCAGACACCAGTAGCTCAGCCAGTTGGAGCAGTTCAGCCGGGTCTGGTAGCTCATACCGGTGATGGA